TTGGAGGCCCGACATTTCTAAAGACATCCTCGCAGCCGCGGTCGAGAGAGGATACCCGATGACGGAGGACATTAACGGTGATCAGATCATCGGGTTCACGACCGCTCAAACGATGAGCAAGAACGGAGTTCGACAGAGCAGCTCGACCGCTTTCCTTCAACCAATTCGATCCAGACGAAACCTTCAGGTCGTTCTGAATGCCACTGCCACGAAGATTATTATCGAAAACAGGAAGGCAGTCGGTGTTCAATACTACAAAGTTAGTGTATAGCACATACATATATCCTTTGCATACGCGTCATTAATTATGAAACGATAACACGTATCGATTTATCAGGTGAAAGATGTTCATTTGTTTCCTTTTCGATAATACATATCGCTGATGATTATGAAAATGTAAGTAATAAATTATTATTCATTTGCGTTTCTACGTTCGAACGAATTAAAAAGATATTTTTCCATTACGTAAAGCAGTATCTGGTAACACTTATAATAAATCTTTAAACTTTTTCAATTTTATATCATTTTACAATTTTATGAGAAACTTATTCGAAAATATGATTCACGATATTAACAATAACGAATATTATTAAAAGTACAAGCTAAAAATAAACTTTAAAGCTAAAAATAAGCTTTATTTATAGTATATGTTATTTTTATTATTATAGAAATCGTAATTTTGTATAATTAATTACGAATTATTGTCTGCTTCAATAACAAAATTGTCTGTTTTGGACATTTTAAGGGCTCTGAAATATTCACGATGAATCGCTGGCATATCGGGTAGTAGATCCATTATGCCTTTATATTTTTCTTTTGTCACTGGCCTTTCACTTGCGCATAATTGAGGTAACCGTGGATTACAATATAATTTTGGCTTTCCCCTTTTCGGTGAAAGGTTTAAAACATGAAATTCTGCTTCAGGGTGCATTGATATTCTGCAAAACGAATATTCTGCGTATATCCGAAACTTTATTTAACGACACAATGCAAACATATGTAATTATCTTTCTCTCACAAGTTTTCAAAATCACGCACTTACACCACTGTCAAGATCAACGTGAAATTCCTACGGATAGATACGAAAGTATATCTCCGTATCGTTGGTCATTTCACAGCTATTCGACAAAAATTCTTCCATAATATAGAAACAGAAATATCGATACAGCACAAAACAAACGAAAATCTGTCTTTTATTTTTGGTCCCTTGACTTACGCTACTTCCATAATCATCAGCACGTATGGATGCTCGTGGACCCACGTTAGTTTGCACAATTCTTTTTTTACTTTTATAACTTCAAACGCGTAACCGTTGTTCTCGACTAAATGGCAACGACTCTTTAAATACAGATTACCTTTATGTACGTATTTTCAGAATGGGGAACTTCGCGTTGCAAGAGCCTCGCGTGAGATAATCGTCTCTGGCGGAGCTGTCAACTCCCCTCAACTCTTATTGCTCTCTGGAATTGGACCAAAGGAGCATTTGGACGCCGTGAACGTGAACGTCGTTAAAGATCTTCCAGGTAAGCGGCCGTACATCGCCCTTGTAATTTACGAACGTCTGTTACGTTGTCGATACTTTTCGAGCAAAATACGATGTTTTTAGGAGTCGGTGAGAATCTTCACAATCACGTGTCGTACACACTGTCTTGGACCATAAATCAACCAAACGAATTCGACCTGAATTGGGCGGCAGCCTTGGAATACGTCTCTTTCCAAAAAGGGCCCATGGCGTCCACAGGTTTATCCCAATTAACGGGAATTCTACCTTCGAGCTACACCACCCCCGATCATCCTGATCTTCAGTTCTTTTTCGGTGGGTATCAAGCATCGTGTGCCACCACAGGGGAGATAGGAGCCCTCATGGACGGTGGACGTCGTAGCATAAGCATATCGCCGACGAATACTCATCCCCGTAGCAAAGGTATTTTTATCGCGTCTTGCAATTTCCTGTGTCTTGCGCTGGATTGTAAATCTATATATGTACGTTGTACGAGACTGTGCGCTCTGCATAAACGAGTCTGTTTCTCTTTCAGGAACTCTTCGGTTAGCTACCAACGATCCTCTCGCGAAACCCATAATCCATGGAAATTATTTGAGCGATCCATTGGACATGGCTATCCTCCTGGAGGGAATTCAGATAGCCTTGTCGTTCGGCAACACTACCGCTATGGCGAAATATAATATGACGCTTAGTAACCAACCTCTATCTGCTTGCTCGCAGTATCCGTTCCTAAGCAACGATTACTGGAGATGCGCCGTGCGCCAGGAGACAGGTCCAGAGAATCATCAGGCAGGCTCCTGTAAAATGGGTCCAGCCTCAGATCCGATGGCCGTTGTAGATCCGCTATTGAGAGTACATGGTATTAAAGGGTTGCGAGTCGCCGACACGTCCATCATGCCTCAAGTATTTATCTTTTTGTTTCTTCTCTTTTGTCTCTCTCTCGTGATGAATATTGCGTGGAGTCTGAGCAATGTGTTTCGATTCGAAAGGTAACGTCTAGCAACACGGGCGCTCCGGCGATCATGATCGGCGAAAGGGCAGCGGCGTTCATCAAGATGGACTGGGGTGTTAAGCCGACACAATGGTACGGGCATCGTCCATCTTCCGTATGGAAATACTCAGCACCTCGGAAAGTCTAGCGCATAGTTACTAGCAATTTGCCATGTTTCCTAGTTCCCGTTCCACGATCGACAACTCGTTGGATCTGTTGCTTTGGGGGATCAAATACATCGACTGGGACCAGCCTATCTGGTAGTCAAGATCCTTGATCGATCTAGTCCATGATTTAGCGGGTTTCTTTCTGCAAAAGGAATTACAGTGCAGCGCTGTGCCGTGTCGTCGAGGTGCCGGCGCAACGTCACCAAAGAGACGACGCTAAAGGACGCGGAGTGCCGGCCTTTCTCCTCGAGTCGCTGCGATCCAGTCGATCGAAGCTGTGGAACGGAGAATCGACGTACACTGGCACTAGCTAATTCAACTATCGCGGATCTTGTTATTACTTTTACATTCTCCGTTCTTTCCTACGACTACTTGTTCCTGTACTTGTTCTTTCCATTTTCGCGTTACGATGTTAAGCACCTATGCGAATTCGTTTAACGTGAATTTTCACTTCTTCCGCGTGTTCTATTCGTAGATAAGCATCAGTTTCGGATTATCGAGATTTTATCGAATCGACGTTCAGGGTAAATGTATTTATCCAAATAACCTGCGTTATCTGGATCGATACGAAGGTAAATCGAAACAGTTTTACTATCATCTTTCGCGATTAAGTATTATACGTACGTGAGTACATACGTCGCGTACAATTATAATACCTTCCACGCGTATGCTTTCCTATTAATCATACTAAACTGAAATGGCCTTAAAGCAAAAGATTCCTCGCGTTTACGAGTGTTGCCAGTCGCACAGTCGTTTATTTCATTGAACCAACGTCGAAATAGAAACATACCAAAGAGATGTAAATCGTTGTTACCGAATTAATATCAAGTCAATTGTACCAACAATTAGTTGGCTGAATAATAATTTTAATTTGTTTTCTTTCTGCACTCTTTGGTTTTTTTATTCGCCATAGTATCCTTTAATTTATCCTTATTTCACAGCTACTTTCCCGAACCTAGTATTTGCTAAATTTATTTAGCATCTAACATGCGATCTCCGAATCCATCTTCGAATTTCCTTTAACGTATAATAATACTGATTTAGGTTGTAGTCGAAGAACAGTCGAAATAATTTTCGAAGCTGTTCCATCCGTTTAGAATTAGGCTCCTTCGCACATACGATTGTACAGATACATATACCTCGTTCGTTTGTTTATCCTTATTATTTGTGGCTAAAAATCTAATCTAAAATCTAAAAAGCTAATGTTAGACATATATTGACACTAAGAAAAATATCATCAGTGTTAACTGTTACCGGTCGTGCTTATTCTATGCTTAGAGCATAGGTCTGCCTTAAGTCGGAGTTACAACAAAAATCACTATTTCGAGATGAGTAATATAATAAAAATAAGTAATGGGATAGAATAGAATAGTAGTAGAATAGTAGAAAAAGAGATTACCTAAAATTAACTAAGAACAACAGAACGTCGCTAAACAAAATTGAAACAGAGCTAAAATTATTCCTGTGAGATCTGTCATCTGTCTCTCTATCATGTTCTGAACGCTGCCAAACAACATTGAAACTCATTACTGCCGCAAAAATTCTCTCTTCAGGGAATACATGGTGCCATACTACTCCTATCACTATTTTACTCTCCTTATCGAGTCTACAGGTCGCTGTATACAAATGGAGGCGAGATAGACGCTTCGCGAGGAGACCAGTAGGAGAGAAGAATAGGAGAAAATTCATTTTCATGTGACATACGGAATGCAGGGGTAGAATGGGAGAATGTGAGGGAATTTTCCGACAATTCTGACTGGAACTGACCTATCCTTCCGAATAAGGCTTTATAATTCGTCTTTTGATTGTATTTCGTACGTACATCGTCCCAGATAAGAAACGTAAACAGTAATCGAATGTCCATTGCTGGAAGCTCGTCCCGGAAAATGTCCGGCATTGTCTGTAAGCATTAAGTATAATGATATACAAAGTTTCAGGCAATTTCTAATCTTCGACCGGAAAAGGTAATTTAAAGATATTAATGCATGAGTACATACATGTTGACCTCCGATATATCGTGAAAGCATTAGTGACAGATAAGCTGTTACTCAATATGGCATAATTACTTGACTTGTACTAAATTATGTATTCTAAAACGTTTTAAAAGAGCTTAATGTTAAGCGGAATAGACACTTCGTTGTTTGAGAAATGTTTAGTCTAACAGAATTTGAACAAGGCTTCGCATTTCCTACTCTCGTTAAATAAAAATAAATAGTCCTTGTGCGAGTTTGTCGACAGATTAATTATCGACAAATTATATGTCGATAACTGTCAGAATTTCAGATAATGGCCAATTTAAAAGTATTATTCTGTTATTTTACCTCTATACTCGAAATTATTCATTTATCATTTCCTTACGTATCGGTGTTATAAAGCTGCAAGTATAAAAGAGGATGTAACGAAACACACAGTAGTCAGTTGAGCAGAACGAAGCCTACTGAGCGTAGTTTTGCAACTGTAATTAGCTACAATCCTCTTTGACAATATGGTACGTTCCTATTCTTATTTTACAAATTACCGCGTACAAACGGATTATTTTAACGTGTTTATCGGATCACCATTATGCTACGCCTCCTGTTGTAACCATATTGCTCACAATTGCAGTCGGGCTTGTTCGATATCTCGTATTCAAGTCCGCCATGTGCCGATCCCTACCTAGGGGGTCCTCAGCTTTCGGATGTTTGCTCTGCAAACAACGGAGCAATGTTACTGACGATTTTCAACATACTGTTAGTGGGAAATCCGGAAGTTGGTGAGCCGTGCAAGCGCGTGAGGCCAGTCAAGGAGCCAGACCTTAGTTACGATTTTATCGTTGTCGGCTGTAAGTTGTGAAAAGCTTTGAAATCAATCGTCTATCGAGCATTTATCAAACAATTATTATCTGGCTTTTACGCGAAAGACTACTCGTACGTTTCACGTTTCCTACAGCCGGTGCTGGTGGAGCTGCAGTGGCTGGAAGACTGAGCGAAGTCAAAGATTGGAAAGTTTTACTGATCGAAGCAGGCCCCGATGAACCGGCAGGAGCCGAAATACCCAGCAATCTTCTGCTTTATCTCGGTAATTAATTTCGTTCGATCGCAGCGACGGTTTATGCGAAAAACGCGTTTAATCGAATGAACACGTGATACGTATAGGCGGCGAGTTGGACTGGAAATACAAAACGACGAACGAATCGAACGCCTGTCTCAGTACGAATGGAAGATGCGCTTTGCCTCGAGGTAAGAATCTCGGAGGAACGACGCTTCACCATGGTATGGCGTATCATAGAGGTTATCCTAAGGATTACGAGAAGTGGGAAAAACTGGGAGCCGAAGGATGGGGTTGGGAAGACGTACGTTCGTTTATCGATATTTGTAGCGCTATTAGGTGGATCGTCAGAAAATCTTGTTCAACTTTCGCAATATGTCCCTTGCAGGTGCTACCGTATTATCTCAAGTCGGAGAATAACACGGAAATTGGTAGAGTTAGCGCGAAATATCATGCCACCGGAGGTCCTATGACCGTGCAACGGTTCGTTGATCCGAAATATCTTCATCTCTGTCGTATTTTGAAAACTATTTCTTTCGATGGACTTTTCGAATTAATATCCGAATGTCGACAGGTTCCCATATCAACCTCCTTTCGCCTGGCATATCCTCAAAGCAGCGGACGAAGTAGGTTTCGGCGTTTCCGAAGATTTCGCCGGAGAAAAAATGACAGGCTTCACTATAGCTCAAACTATCAGTGAAAACGGTGTGAGACAGACCAGCGTTAGATCGTTTATTACACCCGTCGCGGATCGTAAGAATCTTCACGTAGCCGTGAACGCCACCGTTACCAAAGTTAGGACCATTGGCAAGAAAGTGACAGGAGTCGATGTGTTATTGGTGCGACGTTGTATCAAACTTATAACATCACGTTCTTACGGCTTTTCCATCGTTTAACCTCGATGTTGATCTTATTCGCAGAATGGAAGGAAGCGCATCATAAGGGCAAAACGCGAAGTGATTTTGTCAGCGGGAGCGATAAACTCACCCCAGCTGTTGATGTTGTCTGGAATTGGACCTAAGGAACATTTGAAATCCAAGAAGATTCCCGTAGTGATGGATCTACCAGGCGTTGGTGAAAATCTTCACAACCACCAATCCTATGGTCTAATCTTCACCTTGAGCGAAACTTATTATCCAGTGTTCAACGAAAGTAACATCGAACAGTACATTACAAACCAAACTGGTCCACTCTCTAGCACAGGCTTGGCTCAAGTTAGTGGAATATTGACATCCAATTTCACTACCAAGGATGATCCAGATATCCAGATATTCTTTTCCGGCTACCAAGCAGTTTGCGAACCTAAAATAGGCCCACACTTGGCCGCGATAGACGACAAAACGGCTGTCGAATTTACGGCCGTGAATCTACACCCAACGAGCAGAGGTGAGCTGTCTTTGCCTCGATATCGTAAAATACTTCATTTTCGTCACTCGATTTATATGCATCGGTCGAATTCTGTCTGTAGGTCGCATTACGTTGAACAGCAACGATCCACTCGATCCACCTGTTATCTGGAGTAACGATTTAGGGACCAAACACGATCGCAGCGTCCTAGTTCAAGGAATCCAACACCTTATCAAACTATCGAAGGCCCCGATCATGCGGAAGCTAGGTTTGAAGCGTCAACCCGTGGAAATACCAGCGTGCGCAGGTTTTAAGCCAAACAGCTATGACTTTTGGGAATGTGCTATACGTTGGAACACAAGACCGGAGAATCATCAGACCGGCACCGCCAGAATGGGCCCGCGTACGGATCCGATGACCGTCGTAAATACTCGACTCAAGGTACACGGTATCAAAGGACTGAGAGTTGCCGATGCGTCCGTTATGCCTACGGTACGTTTTCCATATTTCTCGTTAAATTACCTTCGACACTTCATCAAATCTATATATTTCATTTTCTTATTTTCTTCGAACGCGTTTCATAGGTGGTTTCTGGTAACCCTGTTGCCTCGGTCAACATGGTCGGAGAAAGAGCCGCAGACTTTATCAAGCAAGACTGGGGAATCAAAATATAACGGAAACGTCAATTATGGAAAGAAAAACGAAATTATAATGGCCATTAATATAACAGTATAAATTCTATTCCGATACGTTTTTTTTTCTCTTAATCCCTTGCAATCAAAAATCGAAATCCAACAGGAACAAACGCTCGTTCGGTTGACATCGCGTAATTCCACGCGTACAAATTTCACTCGAATCGAATCGAGTTAGTTTCGAAGTTGGGTGGAACGGTTATAAAAGAGGACAATGATTGTTAAGTCCAAGTGACTTAAGTTATTCGGTAAACGGTGCTGCTGACTAATTCGGTGCAGTCGATATAAAGGAAAACCGTTGGAGATTGGACGGGCACGAAGACGACGCGACACTCCTCATCAAACACTCTACACTCCAAGACTTTAAACTCCTCGTGATTTCGCGAGGATCTCAAACTTCTATCCACCTCGTTCGAAAACGAATATTTACCTTCGCCGGAGTGGCGTGTGCGCGCGCGCGCGCGCATCTGCACTTGGAACGCTGCAGATGACGGTGAGTCTGGCGGCGTCGCGAGAAAGGGTCGCGATCCGCTAGCTGAGAAACTAATTTCGTTGACTGTTCCCGAAGTACAATAAAGGGCAATAACGCAGTTTAATTAAAATTAATAACGATACCGTTGGATGCATTCGAGATTGAAGAATGGCCGGTGGAAAAGGTCGGGCCGCGATATTGTCTGGCAGGATTATTAAAGTAAAAACGAAGAAGAGAAAGGAGAAACGAACGGCGGAGGAGGTCACATCGGTGGAACGAAGTAGCCTCCCAAGTCGAGAAAACGATGGAAGCTAGAAGCATGGAGAAGTGCACTTGACCTCCTTAGAGTCGCGGCCGCATACGCCTGTACGTTCCTTGCTGGCAAGAACGTATTCGCTAACCCTTATCCGACCTCGGTGGCCGTTCACCCGCGTCCAAATCCTCCCGCGATCAGATACGTCTTCTTCGAGTGTACGTTAGATCCGAACGTTCCCTGCACAACAATGGTAAACAATAAAGATTTTTTTGCTGTACTGTCGATTGGCCAACGACCGTTTGTGCGGCCGCTTCAAAGCGTTAACGATCGCTTCGAATGCTCGACGACGTACCTGCCCCGCGCAACGTCGAAGAAATTCTTATTGTTTGGATAAAAATTCGCGTTACCTCGAGCGAACCAGAGGAATCGGGCTTTGTGGATTATAGCGTCCGGCTCGTTTGCACGATAAAAACGTTGGCCGACCGTCGACGGTCGTTAAACCGATGCTTTCGAGCTTCCACGTAATCCGAGCTCGTCGCGCTCATGGAAACTAATTAACGTTATTCGAGAAAAAAGAAGAAACACCGGTCCAACAATCTTTTGCTTCTGTTGGAAAAGACTAGAGAACGCGGACGAATAACAACGGCCTCAAAGCTTTGCGCCGAGATGGGTTCGCCACGATTGAAACAGCCTTGGCGAAAATACGAAAAGTCCGATCGCGAATAGGTTAATTTGTTTAAAGTATGCATTCAGGGCAACCGGTAAAGCAGTCCTTGGATTGTAGCGGCCTTACAGACAGCGACATACCTTTACATTCACTCTGAAAATGGCAGTTGCGTTCGATTTAACGCTGCCGTAATACCGCGTAACCTATGCGTCGCATTTGCCAAGGTAATTCCAATGTCACCACGGCTGTTCCACGCGGTATCGCTGTATCGCTATTTATTGCGAAACGATTCCCCAAGATCGGAATCGTTGCACGCGTTCGCTGAAAATACTACTCATTGTACCGTCTATCCATTACGCGTACAGTGCATAGCCTAGTACGAGTAAATGAAATCAGTCGCGGCATTTCATCGTTCATCGAATTTGTTCGAGAAACGTGTCGAGACGTTCGTTACTGCGATTTTCAAGCTTCCCATACGGCAAATCGCGAAATAATCACGCCGTTGCAAATGTATCGGAGTGCAAGCGATGGAAAAAGTCGCATCGTGCGTAAACTATATTTCATCCTTTCTCTTTGTAAATGAAAATAAACGTTTAGATCGTTACACGCGATCGTTTTCATTCACGCGAATCAACTTGTATCTATCGAAGTGTGTAGCATCCGTTTCAACGTGTAGCGCCTTTATCGATGCGTTGCCGGTCGCGTCGCAAAATTATTTCACCGAGCGATGTACCGATGCGGCCGGTCCTGTTTTAGGAATACACGCGATTTAACAGGGGGTTTAATCGAATCGTAACGCGAGAATCGAGGGTGGCTTAAGTGTTAACTGTTTGATGGAGATTTCGTCCAATTTGCTATGGATTTAGATGCGTGCATTCAATTATCTACACGCGCGTTACAGCGAGCGCCACTTAATCCCCGAGCGATCCATTAACTGTAAACTATGGAATTATTAAAGCGAATCACCTAGCGATACGCCATCCCTGCTGAAACTTACGATAACACTTTCCCTTCCGAAGTACCGTCGCTATAGTCAAAATTCCAGCCAGACACGTTCTTTGTAATCGTCAAGAGAGTAACGCGACTACGTAATTCGTAAAAGGGCAGTTGCTTTTCGACGTTCATCGACACAGCGAAAATTACGAATAGTTGAACGAGAAAGAGAGAGAGAGAACTTGTATCTATTTTCCAAGAAATTAAAGGACCGGCACGAACGGCGAAAAGTTGATGATATAAACAAATTATAAATAAAACATCGGACATCTGAAAGACGCGTGTGGGTGGCCGAATGTGTCGTACACGATCTGCGATGTCGCGCCTCGTCGCCTACCATCGTTCCCATCGTTCTCATGGTCGTCGTCTTGTTCGTTGTCGTTGTGCCAGCGTTGCAGCGGTGTAACGACTGCTTTGAATTTCATGAGGGTGCGAATGAATTCATGGTGGAATGGCGCGCGTGGGTTTGCCCCCGGAGACTCGACGACTTCGAACGCCCTCGTTCTTCCCTCGGTCTCGTCAGTTGGAAAATCTACAGGAATCCAAGCGTAATTGAGAAAATAATAACTATGTGTATTATCCGGTAAGACCGTCGATCGATGAAACGAAACCAGCAGAAACTGTCCATGAGTTTCCTAGGGAATCCAAGGAGGAGCTTAGAGGGTAGAAAATATCGCTGGATGTTTGAACAAGATGGAACGGCGAAGCCGGACCAGCCGCGTGACATCACGCGCGGTAGTAATCTGTCGAATCCCGAAGGTTGGTCGATGCAGCGCTGGCAGCGCGACGAACGAGCCGCATAATGCGCTTTGTCGCGTAGCCGTGCTGCGACGCGTGCACCAAGTTTGTTTACCGGGGCTTTTTGGTGGATCGAGGGTGCACACGCGGCGCGCCGTGAACGCGCGATCGCAACACCGCCTCGCAATGGCGCACGACGAAGCCTCCGTCTAAAGACCGAGGTTCGTTACTCCCTCACGAACAGCAACCGCTGTTACAAAAGGGAAAGGAAAAGAAGAATCGCGGGACGAGGACGGATCGTGGAAACCCGGTTAAAGAAAAGCATAGCAGCAGCAGCAGCAGCAGCGTTCAACACGGACGCGCCCGTTCCTTTCCTTTCTTCCTCCTTGCCCCTTCCACGCCGCGGTCGACTCTTGTTTCCTCAGACGGATCCAGACCTCGTCGGCAGTTGTCTCCATTCGCGACGTCATCTCGAGTAATTGCGGTTGCATAGAATAGCAGCGTAACGCGCAAATGCGCTTTGCAATTCGAACAAGAGTTTCGGCTGTGAGACTTAAACACCGTTTGTCGTCTCGCCTCGTCCCGTCTCGTCTCACTGCGAGAGAGCTCCCAAGGCATTCGTCGGTTATCCACGAGAAAGATTTGTTTCGTGTGTAACGTAATTATACGAAGGTATCGGTGTTACGGATGACTGATTCGCGTCGCATCGCGTCGGATGCTGTCTTAAAGCGTTTAAACCTCGTCTAGAGGTAGAGAGAAGGTTGGCGCGATCGTTTCACGCACACGCCGTTTCCCATTCGTGACACGATTCGGGTAATAACTTGGACGGAACGAAACTCAATTTCATTTCTCGTGAAAAAAACGTGGCACAGTAAAGAATCAAGAACTGAAAGTACACTGGGGAGCGGAATTAAGGGCGGAAAGTAATACGAGCGGATTATTAAAAACCGCGATAGGAAGAGCACAAAAGCCTCTGAAAAAATAGGGTTGAATGCAGCTGGCTCGTTTTAGTATTCCCAGGCGAAGCGGTGGAAACGCGATAGGTAATTAACCTCGTTGCCGGTAGCCGGGACGTGCGAAGGTTCTTCTTGATTTTCTTACACGGCCGTTCGCGAGTAAATGCGTACAAATACAACGTTACTATCTTGAAATTGTTTGGGCCAGCCAACTGCAGAGAGCAACCATTACCGACGATAGCTGGCCTCGAGGGAACAGGTTCTTACCAACCGCGTCAATAATGCAAACGCGTGTAAGCCGTGGGATATAAGCAAGCCCGTAAATATTGCGCCGCGACGCTGATGGTCGGGGAAACAACGCGAGCAAAATGTACGTGAGTAGCCTGAAGAAACACTACAGGGCTGAGAGGACGAATCTGGTCAAACGCGCGTCATTTACCGATCCCGATCGTTTTCGCGGTGTGAGTCCTTACGGCGTGTTTATGCCAGCCGCAGAAATCGATACGCGTCCAAAGGTATCCACGAAGATCGTCGTTGCGACGAAGAAATAGGATAAAGGGATCTCGGTTTTTTCCCAATTTCGTTGCTTCCCCCGTGGTATCCTTCCCGCGAGGATCGAGTTTCAACGCGTCCGGCGTGATCCTATCCGGCGCATAATTTTATTATCGTCGTTTTACGCTGTCACGCCGCATCCAAGCGTTGAAAAATCCTCGCGGCACGCCGCCCGTAATGGCGGTTATTAAGAATAATGATTGCTGGGCGGAAGTCTACAGACTGCTACGCGAATACATATTCATGAGAGTAAGTGAATCGGCCAATATCTTACCGTCCACTGTTCCTTTCTCTCTTCTTTTTAAAACGTACACATAGACGGCCGTTTTATAAGCGAGCGACGCTGTCGACGCCGTTTATACACCGCGTCGGATCGTTTTCAGCTTTCTCGTGATAAAAGCGAAACAAATCGCGGCT